GTACGTACGTACGTACGTACATACATACATACATACATACATACATATATACATACATACATACATACATACATACACGCATACACATATTGAGAGAGAAAAAGACAGACACACAGACAGACAGACAGACGGACAGACAGACGGACAGACAGACAGACAGACTGACTGACTGACTGACTGCCTGACAGACTGACAGACAGACAGACAGACAGACAGATAGACAGAGACAGAGAGAGAAAGAGAAGGAAGAATAGGGGAGAGAGATTTGATAGAGACAGACACAATATAAATAATGCATACGTAATACGTAAGAACTATAATGCTAGAGCAGCTTTAGAAGCGCCAACGACGAAAGGAAAACAGCGGAAATACCGAGCTTCGACCACCTCACTGACCGGCAAGCACTGCGACAGAATCTGCGTTTCAAACACAGGAAGAATTAGCCATGACAGTCTGAAGCTGCATGAAGACAACCTTGAGAGCATCTTTAAGCTAAATTGACCGTCTGCATAACGAAAAGAGCCATGCATACGTAATACAAACAACAGCACACATACTTGCTAGGATGAGGGCCCTGGGCTTGTCCTATATTATTATTTAGTCCAGTTGGCCAAGAACAGAGAAGTCCCACAGAAAGACAGCTCAACTTTGTAGTAACAGATAAACAAAATTTCCACCAAAGCCAATAACGTGATAACATGACTCTTCCCTCTCCCCCTTACAAACAACACAAAGCCTCAGAAAACAACCTGAACTTGGCTCAACATTTCGTATTATTTCGTTCTGTTTATTTTCCTCCTTTGTTTTTTGAAGGGGAAAGGGGGGGGGGGGGTCTATTTCTTTTAGAGTAGGGGCATGAGTGGGGTGGTGAGAGACTGTTCCTTGCGAAGTTTTAAAGCGCTCTTTGTTGATCTGTAGACACTTACAGTCAAAACTGTAAGAGGCGGCCACCAATTAATTGGTCGCTTTTAAGCACACGGAGGCTATCCCGAAAAATGCTGTTTTGAGATAATGGAAGGTAAAGTTTTTGCCCCTGGTTCAGTTTCTTTAAAAGACAAGGAGATTTTTCTCTATAACCAAACAAATGTACACACCAATGAAATCAAGAAAACTGGGTTAGCCCACTGTTCCTTAAAAGCGACCAATTGTCAAACAGAAAAGAGTCTGTCTCAGACAGGTGGACGTCTTGGGATAGTATCATTATAAAAGAAAGAAGAAAAAAAAAACGCAAGGGAGGGAAGCGGGAAGTGGTCATTTGTACAGGTGTTAGTTTTGTTTTAGTAAGTCAGTGTTTTACGGGACTTGCGACACAATAAGGTCATGCAAGTGCCCAAGATCAGAGGTGTTACAAGAGAGTAACAAACACAAATACGGAGGAGGGGGAGCGATCAGGACGATAGCTGATGTTTGATAGGGAAGAAGGAGCAAACCACACCAGAGCACCTGCCAACCATCCAATGTGATTGTTTTGGTCAGCAGGTGGCCTTCAGAGCAGATCCGACTGTTATAGTATAATATGGAGCGATAACATAGCAATAATCACGACGGAAAACATTGATGAAGAAATGCACGCGAGGACTCCCCCCCCC